AGCCCAATTCGTAACCACTACGCTACCAGAGCTCCTTTCTTATAGGTGGTTTAGTGGCTACTATATTCGACAGGGCAGACACAGTTTCACCATCTCATACAGTGTTCTCTGAGTTAAAGCAAAGATGAGAAGATAAGGAGGCAAGGGAACTAGATGAGAATATTTGTGGGTAGGGAAACTAGAGAACTGGAAATGGAACAACCAGAAAGCAATGACTCATTGTGGAAACTGTTAACTACGTTGTGAAAAATATAACTAACTATCCTGAAACCATGAGAGGCCAGAACAGAGGATGTCCGAGGGCCATCGGGGTCCATGGGCCACCTCAGAGGGTCTCAGCAGCTTATGTAGAGGGTCAGAGTGAGAACAATGAATTCAACCACACCTGCCTTGTGACAGACGTCACAGTCTGGTGGTGCAGTGATTAAGCACTTGGCTGCTAACCAAAAGGTTGGTAGTTGGAAACCATCAGCTGTTCCATGGAAGAACGATATGGCAGTCTGCTTCTATAAAGATTACAATCATGAAAACCCCATGAGACAGTTCTCCTCTGTATGGTAGGACCATCATGTGTCAAAATCCACTTGACAGCAACGGTTTGGTTTAGGTTTATAAAAAGGCGAGAGTGAGGTGTGCTCACAGAACATTCTCAGGGATGAGTTGAGGTCTCTGTGCAACATGTACTGAGAGAAGTCTGCATAGGGCATTCAGAGCAGCTGGTCCCAGCCAGCGGCTCCTAACCCACTCCTTGAGAAACGGCAGAACCCTAGGAGCCAGCGGAACTTACTTCGTACACTGACTGTAAACAATATTGTGTAATTGGCTGCTTCGCTCTGAATAAAAAGCAGGTATTCTCCAGCTTGAGTTTCTGTCATTTTCAAAATGACCATGGAAACAAGGCTCCTGCAACACAGGAAAGAGAACTTGTTATTTTGGAATCTTTGTGAAACTAGAAACGTAGAATTTCACCCTGAGTCAGAAGGCTGGCTCCACGGCCCCCACACTCCGTCTCTGGACACCAGGGGCTGCTCTGTGGTGAGCTCCCAGTGATGGGGTTTACCATCGAAGGCACGTTCCATCACCATATTTACCCAGTCAGCCAGTCAGCTCCCCATTTGCTTCTGAACCTGATTATTGTTAACAGTGATCTCAACTCATCCTAGAGAGTGTTCTCTGTGCTTCCTCTCAAACCAAACCCTCTGTCATCCAGTCTTTTCTGACTCACAGCTGCCCTACATGCCCACAGCTGCCCTTTGGTGAAGACGACAACCTTGGAAACCGTATGGGGCAGTTCTACTGTGTCCACTAGGGGCGCTATGAGAGTTTCTGGAGTCTCCTTGTGCCTCTAAGATGCCCTCGGACCTCAGTGTCTCTACCTGTGACTTGTGGAGTCATTTAAGGTAACACAGGGTGTTTGCAAATACTAGGCTTGGACAAAGCTGGGACCAAGTGGGCAGAGCTTTCAGGGCTGCCCCCTTTATGGAAGTAGACTGCCACATCTGTCTCTTGTGGAGCGGCTGGTGAGTTCCAGCCACTGACTGGTCATTAGCAGCTCAGCGCTTAACCACTGTACCACTGGGCTGTAAAAGAATCCCAGCAAAACCTGTCCCAGGGCATTTTCCTATGAAGTACTAATTATCACTGGCTTCGAACATACGTGTCAGGAGAGAGATGTCTCGATGCTGTCTTCAACTTTGCATTCATGGTAAAGAAATTTGGTTTGGGCAGTCTCTCCGCAGAAACAGCACAGAGGCCCATCTGCCCATCTGGTGATAGCCATTCTCATTCCATCGTAAACTATTCTCTAGTGATTTATTGAGGGATTTTGGACTTATATTTTCTGACCTTCAGACCTTTACTACCCAAAGCGTAGTCCTCCTCCCAACAGAATTAGCATGACCTGATGTGGCACTGTGGGCTAGGCTTGGGACCACAAGATGGGTTTGAATCGTAGGGTCATCAGTTCAAACTCACCAGCCACTCCTTGGAAACCCCATACAGGGTCACTGTGAGTCAGAACTGACTAGACAGCACTTCACAGTAACAACAGGAGTCCTGGTGTGGCACTGAGGGTTAGTGTGCTGAACTGCAAAGTCATCTGATCCACAAGGTCGGTGCTTCAAGCTCACAGACTGCTCCTTGGAAACCCTATACAGGGTTGCTATGGGTCAGAACTGACTCGATAGCACTTACAGCAACAACAAGTGACTCAGTGGATTAAGTGTTGGACTGCTAACCACAAGGTCAGCAGTTCAGACCCACCAGCCATTCTGTTGGAGAAAGAGGGGGCTGTCCACTCCGGGAGAGAGTTACAGCTTCAGAAACCTAGGGGGCGGTTCTACTCTGTCCTATAGGTCACTAGGGGCTGACTTGATGGCAGTGGCTTTGGCTTTGATTTTTGGGGTTCTGATAGAAATGCAGATTCTCAGGACCACTCAGTCTTCCTGAATCCGAATCTGCATTTTTAACAAGATTCCCAGACAATCAGAACGCACACTGAGAAGCACTGCTTTAGAGGGCAAAGTGGCACAGGATGACGTGTGCTTCCAAAGGTCCTGGGGTGCCACAGTTTGCACCCTAATAGTTCAGCACTCAGCTGCTAACTAAAAAGGTCAACAGCTCCGGAAGAAAGACCTAGCAGTCTGCTCCCATAAAATGACAGCCTAGGATCACTAGAACTCAGATGGATTCAATGGTACCTAAGGACTAGATAAGCCTTGAAGTTGGCAGTTCAAACTCACCTAGAGAGAGGTGTAAAGGAAACCTGGGAGGCAGATCCGTGAGTTGGAATCCACTCAGTGACTGTGGGTTTGGTTGGTGTTGGTGCCTATATGAGACATTATTTCTACCTGTAGATCTTCTAGTGAGGCACTTTCATGGAATTGTTCATTCTCCTAGAATTCTCCATGAAGAAACCACTGCCAATGAGTCAGTTCTGACTCACTGACCCTCTAAGACAGTCACACTGCTTCTTAGGGTTCCCCCCAGAATTGTTAGTCTCTATGGTAGCGTAGTGGTTACAAATCGGGCTGCGAACCTTAAGGTCAGCGGTTCGAAACTACCAGCCACTCCGCGGAAGAAAGATGAGGCTTTCTACTCCCGTAAAGATTTACACCCTTGGAAACCCTGTACAGGGTCGCTATGGGTCGGACCCGACTAGATGGCACTTAACAACAACAACATGGGAGCAGCAGCTTCATCTTTCCACTGGTGGATTGGAACTGCTGACCTTGCAGTTAGTAGTTCATCACTTAACGTGCTGTGCTACATCATCAAGATTATATGACGGCTATGAAAGTTTACGTGTTCAACCTTTCTGGCTACCAGTCTGAGTCCAGACACAAATTTCTAGCATTCTCTACTGTGGAAAAAGTAGTGAACAGCCTTGTTGTAGCCATGGAGGCTGGATGGACCCCTGAAACACTGCTCTAAGATCATCTTAAAACTTCAACATCAACCAAAAAGCATTCCTGGAAGTCTTTGAACCAAACAACGATTGCTTAACTAATAAAGAATGTTTGCTTTGAGCACTGTACTCTTTAAAAGAGCGATCTACAGGACAGACAACTTAGACACTGACTACCTAAAATGGGGGGAGGTGGAGGAGGGCTATAAAGGCATGAAGTGACCGGCTTACAAGTTTTCAAGAAGGAGTTTAGTTTCAGAGTGTGCAGGGGAAGGGAGACTCACTCACTGAATAGCTTTCATCTTGTCTAGACAGGTCTGGTGAAAAGATATGGGGATAAGATTCTTATGATTCAATAGTGAATACTTGTTACCAAGACTAATTGTGACTTTCACAACTGTACAGGTACAAGTTTTGTAACAAAAAGTGGAGAGTAGTTAATCTTACAGTCCAGGGACAGAGGACCCTAGGACCATCAAGGGAGAAGAGCAGGAGTGGAATGTGGGATCCTATCCAGAGAAGCAGCGACATCAGAGATGGAGGCAGAGATGATGACATGGAGAGAGAAAGCAGCTGAGGACTCTAGATTCATGGACAGAAAAAGACTGTGTGCTGGCAGCCAGGAGGCAGGCTTGCAGAATGTGCCCTTTGGTTGTTTAAATGATTATATATTCCTGAGTGTTTCTGTGTACATCTCCCCACCCCCACTCCCCAAATACAGAAGCAAATACTGTTGAATGATGTTGCATGGAGAGGACTATAATCATTGCAATGAAACAATGAGTGTAAAACTGATGTTGTCCCATGTAAACTATCACTCAGTTCATAAATGCAGTTCATAAATCACTCAGGTCATAAATAAAAATGAAAAAAAAAAAAAAGAATGACCTACGTGGGATCCAACTGACAAGAGCAACTCGGAAGGGTAGACAGGACACTTAGAGGGCAGTGAGTCCAGCTACCAGGGGAGGGACAGCTCAGAAAAGGAGGTGAGAAGGTTGTACAAGTCAAAGAATGTCATGAATGCATTGTCACTGAGCTGTTCATGTAGAAATTCCAGATGAACCACATTTTACAGCAAGAAAATATTGCTATTGAATCAATGTGTATGCTGCTGTATATATTTTAAACAACAAAAATATATAATTGATTTGTTTCATTATCTAACATACATAAAACCTGTGACTTAGGTCCAAACAGGATGACACAATTTATAACAAGCAAGGCAACCTTACTCAGAATAAAAAGAATCCTCCTCTTCTACTCTGCTTTAGTCTCGATCCAGTGAGAACTGCTATGGCATGAAGCTTTAAGAAGATTACCAGACATTTCTTTAAACCGAACATCTTCCTAGCAGATGGATTTGGTTTCAACCCCAAGGTAAAAGTAACCGAAAAACAGAAGTGAGTATTACGGTGTCAAAAGAGGAAAGGAAAATGAATGTGTCCCAAGACGTAGAACAACACTCTAAAATGATAGCCACTGTCTGGGAAATTAGTCACACATTTGGTTGACTTTAAAGAAACAGATATCAAAGTGTTGTGTCCATCAGACGCAGAGATGGCCCCCAGTACTTCAGGAGAGAGGCTGTGCAGAGGTCATCTGCATGTCCTTTGCTGCTTTGGTCAGGGAAAGACGATTCCTACTGCAACTACTGTGGAAAACAGTATGGCATTCCCATAAGCTAGCAATAATACCAGAACCACCACATGACCCAGGATTCCCACTTCTAGGCAGAGGCCCAAGAGAAATTAGACCCATGACACAAATAAGCACATGCATGTCATGTTTGTCACAGCAGTCTTCATAATAACAAAAAAATGAAAACAACCAAAGCGCCCACTGGTGAAAGAATGGATAATAACGCAACATTAAAGAGTAACAATAGATCCATGAAGTGTCTCACAACATGGATGAACCTGGAGGATATTATCTGAGTGAAATCAGTTAGTTACAAAAGGGTGACATTACATGAGACCACTATTATGAAAAGCCAAGGAAAGGTGTGCGAGCACACAAATATAATTTGATGGTTACCTTGGTACGAGAGAGAGTGAGGTAAAAATCATTAACTAAATAGTTGTTGTTGTTAAGTGCAGTTGAGTCAGTTCCTTGGAAACTCCATACAGGTCATAGCAACCCTGTACAGGGTTTCCAAGGAGTGGCTGGTGGGTTTGAACCACTTCATTAACCTGCAGAAGGGAAAGACAATAAACAATATGAAGGGAATGGGTACAAAATGACCAAGGTAAAGATTGTTGTTGTTGTTGTGTGCCGTGGAGTCGGTTCCGACTCATAGTGACCCTGTACAAGGTTTCCGAGGCTGTAACTCTTTACGGGAGCAGAAAGCCTCATCTTTCTCCCACAGAACAGCTGATAGTTTCGAACTTCTGACCGTGAGATGAGCAGCCTGATTCGTAATCACTATGCTACCAGAGCTCCTTAAGGTAAAGATAGGCACTGAAAAGTATGCAAGAGTAATAGTCAACATTGCTAAATCCCACTACACATACAACCCTGCAAAGACAGAAATAACAGACAATAGTTATAAGTATATATATGAGCCGAACAGGTGTGGGGTGGCATGGGAAAGTACATCCATCATCACAGCTGTTTAGCAGTAGACATTTATACATACATGATTACATATACTACAAACAGATTCATGTATGCAACAGTGATGGAGCACAGTGATGGAAACTTCTTAGCCATAACTCAACTCCTTGCAGGATTCGATCACTGAACTTGGAAGCTTAGGGCCATAATCTCCATTAAGACACTGTTCCACATCCTACCTTGGTGAGTAGGGATTGGAATCTTCAAAGCTTTTCAGAGCACATAGAAGATATCACTGGTCTCTTCCCATCAGAAGTGAAGCTGAATGAAGAAGACCAAAGACTCAAGGAGAAACAACCAGCAAAAGACAACACAAACCACAGCCTCCACTAGCCTGAGACCAGAAGTAGATTGTGCCCAGATACCACTACCAACCGCTCTGACAAGGATCACAATAGTAAGTCCTGGATAAGATGGGAGCAAAATGTAGAACAAATTCACAAGTAAGACCAGCTTACAAGAGTGATAGAGACAGGTAGAACCCCAAAACTATGACCCTTAGGCACCCTTCAAACTTGGAACTGAACTCACACCCAAGGATCACCTTTTAGCCAAAGTCAGAACTATACAGTGAACAACATTCTTATCAATGGAGAAAAGACTGAAGTTGTCAAAGACTTCATTTTGCTTGAATCAACCATCAACACTCATGGAAGCAGCAGTCAAGAAATCAAATGACGTATTGCATTAGGCAAATCTGCTACACAAGACCTCTTTAAAGTGTTGAAGAGCAAAGATATCAGTTTGAGACTAAGGTGCACCTGACCCAAGCCATGGTATTTTCAATAACCTCATACGCATGCAAAAGGTGGACCGATGCTTTTGAGTTATGGTGTTGGAGGAGACTATTGAAAGTACCATGGGCTGCCAAAAGAACCAACAGATCTGTGTTGGAAGAAGTGCAGCCTGAGTGCTCGCTCCTTGGAGGTCAGGATGGCCGAACTTCATCTCTCATACTTTAGACCAGTTGCTGGAGAAGGATATCATGTTTGGTAAGGTGGAGAGTCAGAGAAAAAGAGGAAGACCCCCATCGAGATGGATTGGCCAAGTGGCAGCATCAATGGGCTCAAGCATGGCAGCAATGGTGAGGTTGGCCCAGAACCGGGCAATGTTTCGTTCTGTTGTGCATAGTGTCGCTATGAGTCGGTACCGACTTGATGGCACCTAACAACAATACAGTGAACAATAACACCTGAGAAAAATGTACACCTCAGAACAATCAACAGTTTGAGACCAAAAAGGACACCATTTTCCCAAAAGCCAAGTGCAGAAGGCAAGTAGGAGGAGACAAGATGAGAGAATGGAATGGGAAACCCAGGGAGGAAGTGGAAAGAAGGCTGCTACGGTGGGGGGGGGGGGGGGTCACAACCAATGTCATAAAAGAAAATGTGTATGAATTGTTGGAAAGGCTATTAATTTTCTCTATAAACATTCACCTAAATAATAATACAGTGTAATTGCAAAAGGAGGGAGGAAGGAAAGAAAGAGAGAGAGGCAGGCAGACAGACAATGCCTTCTCTCCTGAAAGAGACGCCACTACTCTCATTCCAAGAATGAGACAGAAAGGCAGGCTTGGAATCTCTAATGGGGATTTAAAGGGCCCGCGTGCCTTGCTCTCCACACCCACCTATGTGGTCTCCGCAGGGGTAGAAACAGCAAGGGTAGGAATCAGCACAGATTTAGACTTTTTGACGCAATCCACAAATGTTGGCTAAGATCTTTTTCTCCACCCTGAGACCAATGTTCCTTACAGACAGATCAATTTCTTACTGAAATATTTGTAGCTCTCACATATCCCTGCCATTCTTCCCATCATACTGTGGAACAAATGGATAAAATCCAATGTTCTTTCCCCAAGCTCTTCCAGAAAGAAACGTCTCACTATTTTACCTAGACTGAGATGCACTTTCTCTCATTTTTACCTTTAGTGTGATAAATAAGAAACCTTAAAGCTCCCAAATGCTTTTTCTACAACTTTGGTTTCACATTTTTGCTGAGTATTCACTGCTTTCTTAGCTACTAAGTATGTTTTTTTTAAGTGCATTCTGCCGTTTGAGGATGCTTCTACAACAGATATGGACAGAAACTAGAAAAGAAATTCCAAGTGAAGCCCATTTTATGGCAATAAAATGTTGCTGCTTTTTTCACTGCTATTCAATCAGCCCCCGACTCATGGTGAGCCCTTGAAAGGTGGAAAAGAATGCTGCTTGGTGTGGCACCATCCCTATGGTTGGACTGTTGTGAGCCAAAGGGTTTCCATAGGCTGATTTTGGGAGGTAAATCACCAGGTCTTTCTTCCTAGTCTGTCATAATTGAAAGTTCTGCTGAAACCTGGTCAGCATCCTAGTAACACACCAGCCTCCACTGACAGACAAGTGGTAACTGTACATGAGGTACCTGGACCGGGAATCGAACCCGAGTCTCCCACATGGAAAGTGAGAGTTCTACCACTCAGCCACCAATAAGACATTCCTCCACAAATTCTTGTGGTTGTACATTTGTGTTCTTACCTGTTTTGAAAATCAAAGCTTGGCTGGCAGTCCAGGGAACTTTGTTTGAAGATCCAGAGGCAGGAAATGTTCCTGGCGATGCTGAGCATCACTTGCAGGGTAATGGATGCAGACACGTCAACTTCTACCTTAGCTGCTTCATACCTGGGTCCTGTGCTCTGGGGCCTTGGTGAGCACCCAAGGTCTTCTGTTGACCTTGACACCTGCAGTGAGGAGGAGACAGCATTAACTGACCACAAGGGCATACTGAGTACCTTCTCTTTTTATCTGGAACTGTTGCCAAAGACATACATTTCTGACATGTGCCACACGACACCCAAGCACATTGGAACCCCTTTCAGACATACCACTGACTGAAAAATCATATTAATTATAATTCTTGAAAGAAATGACATGACTTTAGACCATGTTGCTAAAATATTTCATGAACGATAATTGTAAGATTCAAACCCAAACAAACACACTGCCATTGAGTCAACTCCATCTCATAGTGAGCCTGCAGACCAGCAGAATTGCCCACAGGGTTTCCTAGGCATCATCTTTATGGAAGCTAACTGCTTCACCTTTCTCTAGCTCAGCAGCTACTGACTTTCCACCATCAACCTGTTGGTTAGCAACCCAACTCTCGCTCCTTTTAAAGATCTGATAAGCGCTGGACCATCTGCTGGGTATGGCGGGACTGAAAAGATCTTTACTTTTTAGACGTTCACTTTGTCTTTGAAGAGTTGTGAACCTAGTTAATGAACCAGGCACTCTGGGTGGTCAACTGCTGACCTAGAGGCTGGGGTTCAAATCCACCACAGGTGCCTCCGAAGAAAGACCTGGTGATCTATTGTTATTCTTGTTATTAACTATGTCGAGTCGATTCTAACTCATCCCCATGTGTGTAGAGCAGAGTTGCTCCATAGGGTGTTCCAGGCTGTGAACTTTCAGAAGGTGATCACCATGCCTGTGGGTTCAAACAGCCAACCTATCAGCTACTAGTGAAGTGCTGAACTGTTTGTGCCACCCAGGAACTCCATCTGATGATCTACTTCTGAAAAATCAGTCACTGAGAACCCTGTGGGTTACCATGAGTGGGATATACTTATGAAAACTCATCTATTGAGAACCCTGTGGAGCACAGTTCTACTCTGACACACACAGGGCACCATGAGAGGAATCTACTTATGAAAAACCATCCACTGAGAACCCTGTGGGCACAGTTCTACTCTGACACACACAGGGCACCATGAGTGGAATCTACTTATGGAAAATCATCCACTGAGAACCCTGTGGGGCACAGTTCTACTCTGACACACACGGGGCACCATGAGTGGAATCTACTTATGAAAAATCATCCACTGAGAACCCTGTAAACACAGTTCTACTCTGACACACACGGGGACACCATGAGTGGAATCTACTAACAAAAAATCATCCACTGAGAACCCGGTGAGCACAGTTCTCCTCTGACACACACGGGGCACCATGAGTAGAATCTACTAACGAAAAATTTTCCACTGAGAACCTTGTGGGGCACAGTTCTACTCTGACACACATGGGGGCACCATGAGTGGAATCTACTTATGAAACATCATCCACTGAGAACCCTGTGAGCACAGTTCTCCTCTGACACACACGAAGCACCATGAGTGGGATCTACTTATGAGAAATCATCCACAGAGAAATCAGTGAGTACAGTTCTACTCTGACACACACGGAGGCACCATGAGCGGAATCTACTTAAGAAAAATCATCAACTGAGAATGCTGTGAGCACAGTTCTACTCTGACACACATGGGTGGGGGAGACCACGAATCTAGGTCAACTCAAGACTAGGATGCAATACGTGAAACACAAGGATGTGTCCCCCAAAAAGATAACAGCTGGTGTGACAGGTAAAAATTAAGTGTGTGGGAGGTGGCTTCCAGCTGGGGCTCTGCAGACATCTCATAGCAGTAGATCTGGATCTTCGATGACGACACAAAACAAGGTCCAATATACCTGACGATCTAGGATGATCTACAGTGACCACACATAAGGGCTATGCTCCTAATATATAATTATTGTTGTTGTTAAGTGCTGTCGAGTTGGTTCCGACTCATAGAAACCCTGTATAGGGTTTTCAAGGATTGACTGGTGGGTTTGAACCGCTGACCTTGAACTTCAAACTGACCTTTCGATCCAGTACTTTACCCTGCAGCGCCACAAGGGGACTCCTGAAAATATTCCTAATTTATAGCAGACTCCTAAAAATTGAGAGACAGAGGACCAAAAACCCAGGAAAAAATGGGGGAGGGGAGTATGAATAGACAATTATAAAAAAGTATATATGTACAGAAAGGTGAACTGTCAAGTAGGTTCCAGCTCACCATGACCCTGTAGAGGGTTTCTGAGGCTGTAAATCTCTACAGAAGCAGAAAGCCTCATCTTTCTCTGGAGGAGTAGGTAGTGGATTCGAACTGCTGACCTTGCTGTTAGCAGCCCAACTGTGCTTCTACCTGGGTACATATTTGTTGCTGTTGTTCAGTGCCATTGAGTTGGTTCCGACCCATAGCGACCCTGTATAGGGTTTCCAAGGAGCAGATGTTGAGTTTGAACCACTGACCTTGTGGTTCAAACCGACCTTGCAGTCAAGTGGTTATCTTACAGTGCCACCCCAGTGATCCTATACAGGGTTTCCGAGACTGTAAGTCTTTGTAGGAGGAGAAAGCCTCATCCTTCTCCTGTGGAGAGGTTGGGGAGCTCAAACTGTGGGCCTTGTGGTTCTCAGTGCAGTGCTTATATGGAGCCAGAAATAAATACAGATATAGGGGTTAGTATGCATATACATGTGGTGTGGTGCTGTGGGTTAATGCGCCAGACTGCAAAGCCATTTGAACTGCAAGGTCGGCAGTTCAAACTCACCAGCTTCTCTTTGGAAACCCTATATAGGGTTGCTATGGGTCAGAATCAACTCAACGGCACTCAACAACAAATGGATATCTATATTTTCTAGCCCAGTGCACTAATAGAACCTCCCAGTTCTATTAGATACATGGCTTAGATGTTGCTTCTTTCTCAATATAGACCTCCAAGAATACATCCATCTCTTCCCAGAGAGGGAAAGGAGCTGTGTGCTGATGACTGGGGGGTGCGGTGGGGGGTGGGCAGGCTTGCAGGGTATACCCTTTGGTTGGTTGATGATGCATGGAGGGGATTGTAACCATAGCAATGAAATGATATACAACAGGATGAATGTAAAGCTAATGTTTTCCCATGTAAACTATCACATAATTCACAATAAACATTTAAAAAAAAAAAAAAAAAAAGACATCCATCATTGGAGAAGTTGTTATTCCGGGGCTGGGGCAGGAAAAATATAAAGAAAGCCTGAAATAGCTTCTTGTTGTTGTTAAGTGCTGTGGAGTTGGTTCTGACTCATAGCGATCATGTATAGGGCTTCCAAGAAGTGGCTGGTGGGTTTGAACTCACAACCTAAGCAGTCCAGAGCATATCCTACAGGGTTATACCAGGACTCTTGAAATATCTATGGTGGTGGGTGGTGGTAGGTCATGGACTTGGTTCTGACTCATAGAGACCATGCATAGGGTTTCCGAGGCTATAAGTCATTACGGGAGCAGAAACCCTCACTTTTGTCCCATGGAGCGATTGGTAGTTTTGAACTGCTGACCTTGCAGTTAGCAGTCCGACTCTTAATCACTATGCTAGCAGAAGCTCAGGAAGTACTTGAAAAAAGATAGGGACATGTCAATACTACTGTCTTGAGATGGTCTTTAAACCTTAACCCAATATGATCCCTGAAGTCTTCTCTAAAGCAAACACTGGTTTAACTTCCCTGGTGAAGAAAGTCAGCCTTGAGCATTGTGCTCTGGAAGACCTATCGCTATGGCATCAAATAAACCACAGCCACGGGAACAAGATAACAGGACTTCAGAAGTCAGTGAGTTTACCTAAATCGGGGAGGAGCAACTCAGAGTAGAAGACTGATTGCACGACTCCAAGAATGCCTTCAATGTCACTGAACAGCACCGTAGAAACTGGAATTGGTGTATGGTTTTGTGTAGACACTCAAGCATAGAAAAAAAAATTATATATATAATCCCGGAGGGGAGGAGGAAAGGACACCAGGAGACATTTCCAATGGCCAACATCTGAACAAGTTGAGCAACAAACTAAATAATGACAGTAGTGGGTTGTAATGCATAGAATAAATATTTGAGTCTATAAGGAGCTCTGGTAGCATAGTGGTTACAAATCGGGCTGCAAACCTCAAGGCCAGCAGTTCAAAACTACCAGCGGCTCCGCGGGAGAAAGATGAGGCGTTCTGCTCCCGTAAAGATGTACAGCCTCGGAAACCCTGTACGGGGTCGCTATGGGTCGGAACCGACTTGACGGCACTTAACAACAACATACTGATCTAAAGGATCTCTGGTAGCATAGTAGTTACGAATCATGCTGCGAACCTTACAGGTCAGCAGTTCGAAACTACCAGCTGTTCTGCGGGAGAAAGATGAGGCTTTCTGCTCCTGTAAAGATTTACAGCCTCGGAACCCCTGTGCAGGGTCACTATGGGTTGGAACCGACTCCACGGCACATAACAACAACAACAACAACATACTGATCTAACTAACGATCGGTACACAAAAGGGGCAGAAGGGATAGTTCTTCCTTACAAAAGAATTTCAAGGAATAAAGGTAGCAAGAATAAGGAACCTGAAACAATTATGTCAGCCAATACTCCAGTAATAACTGTTACAGACACGTCCACCAACAGAAGAAAACATTGTTGCCATTTTGAAGTTACTTATGAAGTGCTGTCGAGTCGGTTCTGACTCATGGCGACCCTGTAGAGGGTTTCCAAGGAGCATGGTGGGTTTGAACTGCTGATCTTATGGCTCCAAGTCCAGCGCTGATCCTACAATGCCACACCAGGAGTCCATTAGTAGTGACCATTTGAGAAGAAATATGATATTTGCAACTCTTCCCCAAATAGTTACTTATTACTTTAAAGGGAAAAGATGGGCACATTACAGTGAAGAGGCGGGGTAGCACCATCTTGGCCTAGGATCAAAACTAACCCGAGCAGTAATAATAAAGCACAGAGAGACCCTCTAACTCCTGATTGGCAATCTTCTGGCCAACAAGGCATCATCGCAATCTCATAATGAGAAAATATCAGAGGAGCCCGCATTGAGACAGTCTGTAAAATCACCTTGTT